CACCAATCTTCCTCTTGGTGACACAATCCTGAAAAATGACATTTTCTGTGAAAAAATTGCTAAACAGTTTAAGGAATTTGTGATTTTTCCCATAGAGAGAAGTTGGAATGGAAATGAAAGAACATATAAGGCCATAGAATCCATTTGGATTGATATCAAGTGAATTTTTCCCTTTCCTACAATCCTAGCACCTTCACCATTAGCTACAAACACATGTGATGGTTTATGAAGTTTCTCAAATTTATGCAATTTTGACACTTGATTAGTCATATAATCTGTGGCAGCTGAATCTACAACCCAAAAATCATGCAACTCGTTGATTTTAAGAGCAGTTTTGAAAGCATTCATGACACATTTCATGTTTTGTTGAGGTAAGTGATCATAATCGGCCAAAAAACCTGCAAACTTGCCCAGCAATGCAGTCGCACTTCCATTTTCATGGTCAACAGCTCGATCTTCCCTTCCCTTCTTTTGTTGGAGATAGGCTGCAAACTCATTGTTCATGACTTTTCTTCTTAATTCCTGACATTAGATGGTTGCACAGATGCTAGTGAAGGATGGTAGCTCAGGATTCATGAGTATATGACTTCTCAAATCCTCATATTTTGAGCTCAAGCTAGACAGCAATTGAAATTTTTTATCTTCTTCAGTTCTTTTAAAAACACGGTGGGATCAGTTGTGTGAGGTCTGTAAACATCTAGCACATTCCACATGCTTCTCAGAGAACCAAGATGTTGAACAAAAGTTTTACCTTCTTGTTGAATGTTAGAGATATCCTTCTTAAGTTGAAAGATGCGTGCAAAGTTGTTTTGATTACCATACATCTCCTTCACAGTTGTCCAGAGAGTGAGAGATGACATGGAATAGTTGAAGATTTCAGTAATCTTCCTTTCCATGGAATTAAGCAACCATGACATAACCAATTGATCTTTACAAAGCCACCCTCCATATTCTGGAGAAGTAACTTCAGGAGTAGGATGACTGCCATCGATGAAACCAGGTTTGGATCTTTCACCAAGCGCAAGACTAACAGCTCTTACCCACGGCAAATAATTAAACTCATTCAGTAATACTCAACTGAGTCATTGATTTGCATTGATATCCATTTCAGAGATGAAAGCAGAAGGGGAAGAAATGGTGCTTTCATCATCTGAATTCTCATCAACCATATTTTTGCTGAAGGAAAATCACAACAACTGAGTTATACAGAGACAGGTTCAGAAGGATGCCCGCTCTGATACACTTTTGAAGTTTTTGATTTCGTATTATGGAAATCATAATGAGAGCAAACACAGGTTACAAATATATAAAAGAGTTTGAGTGAGTTGCAAACTACACTCAACACTCAAGTTACCTATCCCAAATCTCCTTGAATCATGCTAAACAGCTGGCATAGGGAACATAACTAAGCTCCTTGGATTAAGGAGTTGACAACAAGATAAGACCCTTATACAAATTGTTAAGAGCAAGAAGAAAATAAACGGCTATTAATTAGGTAAAACACTAATAGGGTTGACACAAACCCTATTACCCAGATAATACCGAGAAACCCTAACCATGAGGAACCCTAAGTAACCAGAGGTCTTTCAATAGATGGGAACAAGACTTGCAAGTTAGGACTCAATGAATTTGTTGATTTGAGCCATGAAGAATTTGTCCAACTACGTACTGTATACATAAATCCCGCTGAACCGACCTTATCCGTAGCTGTATATTTTAAGTATGAAAGCCTAAGTCTTTTCGATGTTCCCTGTAGCGTCGACTAGAAGATGCATGGAGCTGTCACCCCTGTAAAGCATCAAGGACCCTGTGGTAACAGATCAACATTAAATGCTTTTATTTTAATATTTTTATTCATTCCTAAACTAGCATACGGTCGATTTTTGGTCCATGTTTAATCGATATTTGATCATATCAAATATTGACGATGTATCAAGTACTATAGACTTACATTATTTTTTCTTGAACACATCACAATTAATCAATTTTGTAGTATGTATAGAAATTAATGTTGTTTTATATATTGTAGGCTCTTGTTGGGCATTCTCTGCAACGGCAGATTTGGAAGGAATTACCCAAATCAGAACAGGTCAGTTGATCTCATTGTCTGAACAGCAACATGGGGACTGTAGCAGATTTTATGGAAACAAGGGTTGCCGTAGTGGTTATATGGAGTCTGACTTTACACACATACTAGGATGTCGAGGAATCGCAAGCGAAGCAGAAAACCTGTACCAGGCTACTGAGGGAAGATGTGATACTAACAATCCCAAACCACGGTGTCATCATCGTTGGCTACATGAGAATTCTCAGGGGATGTTGTTCCTCCTGGAGGTTTTTGTGGCCTTGCCACAATGGCTTCCTACCTGATTAGACTGATCTTATCGGCTTCACCTATACAGGCTATAATTAAGTGTGTAGATTTAATTTTCTTAATATTGAAAAATGTTTGTCGATAAAAAGTGCTTGTATTTTGTATCTGATTGGCGAAACTAAAGCGGCATTATTTTTTTTTAAAGAATATAATGAAGTGCGTAGATTTAATTTTCTTCTCATTTAGGTATGGAATTTCATATTGTTCTTGCCCTTGATGAAGTTGAAACTGGATATACGTTAGAGCACTTTTTTATCAATTTGTTTAGCTTTAAAATAATATAGAAGATCTGCAAACCTCAAGACAATTTGTTTTGAAAAGGACACTTAATTACGTCTTGAACACTATGACTGCTAGTTTGGCAACTATGAGTTGGAGGGCCACTGTATTGGCTTACAATTGTTAGTACTTCAACTTCAAAAATCAACATCACAGACTGGAATGGAATTTTTACGTTCAAATTTGGAGAGCTGCCGGCAATTCCTTATGAACACGGTATGCAGTTAAGGACTGCAGACTGTGAACCTTGTAGTCATCAGTACCATTCATGGCGACTAAAAGCCAAAGGGCAGAAACTCCGGCAGATAGACAAGGACCTGTAGTCATCCGATCAATAGACAACCCTTGATTCATCGATTGATTGAGTCATTCGAACTTCTTTGTGTGGAAACTCCCCGGAGAAAACAAAACAAGAGTCGCATTCAGGCCAGACTGATTGATAATAAGTTAACTGTGGTCATCAACTTGAGAAATATTCCTGGAAATTTGGCTTCAACAGTGAGAACGACCTGTTGAAGGCTGTGTCTCCCTGACGAGCCAAGGAGCTGTCACACCAGTAAAAAACGAAGGTTTATGTGGTAATGTGATCTTATTTTTCGTTACTTTCACTTAATGCATATATTGATCGCACAAATACCAAAATAATTTATAATCAACAAGCACATGAATATTATTTGTCAGCATCTACAGGAAGTTGCTGGGCCTTTTACAGCAGTGGGAACTGCTGAGAGGATTATACAAATCAAAACTGGTCAAATGATCTCAATGTTGGAGCAGCAACTAGTGGACTGTTCCAAAAAGGGCGTAAATCAAGCTTGCATAACTGGTAGCATGACCGATGCCTTTGATTACATAATAGTCAAACGGTATTACCCGCGAAATAAATTATCAATACAATTTAAACGGTACTCTGGTGGGGTATTCTCTGGAGATTGTGGGTTTTATCTCGACCATGGTGTTACAGTCGTTGGTTAATGTTTTTATTCGTACCTAAACTAGCATACTGTCAATATTTGGTCCATACTTTATCGATCTTTGACCATATCAGATACTAACGATGTATCAAGTACTACAGAATTATATTATTTTTTCTTGAACGCATCACGATTTCTCAGTTTTGTAGTATGTATTGAAAATATTGTTGTGTTATATACTGTAGGCTCTTGCTGGGCATTCTCTCCAGTGGCAGCTTTGGAAGGAATTGTCCAAACCAGAATAGGTCAATTGATCTCCCTGTCCGAGCAGCAACTTGTGGACTGTAGCAGATTTTATGGAAACAAGGGCTTCCGTGGTGGTTATATGGAGTTTGCCTTTAAATACATACCAGAAAACCGTTGAATCGCAAGGAAGAGATTACCCGTACCAGGCTACTGAGGGAAGCTGTGACAATAACAACTTAAACTGGCATGCTGCCAGTGCCTGGATAATTGGTAGCAAATAGTGCCTCACAACAGTGAAAACGATCCAATGAAGCCCATGTCTGTGCGACCTGTCTCAATTGGCATTCATGTCACTTGGCCGGTCTTTAGGTTTTACAAAAGCTGGGTCTTCACAGCGTAAAAGGTTGTGGGATAGTCCCAAACCACGATGTCACCTTTGTTGGCTACATGAGAATTCTCAAGAGATGCTGGTCCTCCTGGAGGTCTTTGTAGCCTTGCTACAATGGCTTCCTACCCAATTATATATTGGTCTTCTCGGCTACACCTATACAGGGTATAATTAAGTGTGCCGATCCAAAAGTGCTTGTACTTTGTATCAATTGGCATAACTAAAGACGGATTTAAGTTTATTTTTTCGAATAGAGTATAATTATGTGCGTAGATCTAATTTTCTACTAATTTTGATGTGGAATTTTATCTCAAAATACCTCAATTCTCTAGACTTTAATTGAAACTTCATATAGCTCTTGCACTTGATGAAGTTGAAACTTGAAATGCATTAGAGCACTTTTTATCAAGCAGTCGAGCATAAAATTAATTTAGAAGATCGGCAAACCTCAAGAGAACTAGTTTTTAAAAGGACACTTAATTACCCCCAAGAACACTATGACTGCTAGTTGGAGGGCAACTGCATCGACTTACCATTGTTAACTTGGAATTCAAATCTAAAGAACGAATTTTCGTACCCCGCTTACTTACCTTTGACTAAATTCATAACCCCAGCTGCAACGGCGGTTTGATGAATTATGCCTTTGAATATAAAAAAGCGAAAGGAGCAAGTAGCAATACTAACATGGAAAACGAGCTTGCTTCCCAGATAACTGGTTATGGAACGTGCCTTCCACAGTGAAAACGACCTCTTGAAGGCTGTGTCTCCCTGACGAGCCTTTCAGTTTTACTAAGATGGATAACCGACAATGAGTTCTTGAACAATACAGAAGGTATCATGAGAAATAAGTTTGAAATTCTGCCATTGTTCACAAGAATAGGCTGTTAAACATCATTACATTACATTACATACCACTGCACTTACCTAATAAACTGAATATGAAAAGGGCACAATCAGGCACGTTTTCCACAGTTGGAATTGCTCTTCGTGCAGAGGACCTTCCGCCCCTTAGCACGTTGGCGCTTCATCATTGCTCTCCCGCCAGTTGTTCTCATGCGGCAACGGAATCCATGAGTTTGAACCAAGGATTTCCTGGACCTACTTCTCTTGGTTAGACACAGGGCAGCCTTCCCGGTCCTCACCACTAAGCCACAGCCTCTTCTTCTTCTAACCTCCACACTAGAGCTCGAATCCAAGCCCAAAGATAAACCTTCAAATCAAAAACCAAGTTCTAATCAATTCAAGGCCCGACTAAATATCGTTTAACTAGCTCTTCAGCTTAATTTTCAGAAACCAAAAAAGACACCGACTTGTTTCATTACCATGGAAGTACTTACATTGCTAAAACTACGGAAATCGTAAGCAAGAAATTTACTTTTATGAAGTTAGAGTACCTAACAAGACAAAAAAACCGAGCAGAATTTAAGTAAACAATGGAATGTGAAATGTACAACCTATTAGCTTATCAAATTCAACCCAAATGAATCAACAAAAATAAAACACACCAAAATTTAAGCCACAAAAACCCTACATTTCAACTTAGAGACAAATTTCAATGAAAAAGCATAAATTCACCATCTTACGAAAAAAGAACAAACACCCATTTCCCAAAATCACCCAAAAATAGTAATAATACTTCAACCATCCATTTTTTATCCAGAGTGACAGTAAAACAATTGAAGGTAAGTTACCTAAGAAGACGGAAGTGGAAGCTAAAGAGGTGAAAGAGATGAAGGAGCAGTGAAGCAACGGGGAACGAGCAGCGGCGCCACCGCTGAGAGACACGGAACTCTTCCTAGTTGTGGAGCTAGTGAGGAATGTGAGAGAAGCATAAGGTGTGGAGGCTCGAGTGGAAAGGTACGGCAACCACGCTGCTGAAACTGAAGCCATTATTCCTTTTGCCTTCTTCTGCATACGGTCGGTTTTTAGTCCATATTTAATCAATATTTGATCTTATCAAATATTGACGATGTAGACTTGCATTATTTTTTCTTGAACGCATCACGATTTATCAATTTTGTAGTATGTATAGAAATTAATGGTGTGTTATATACTGTAGGCTCTTGCTGGGCATTCTCTATAGTGGCAGATTTGGAAGAAATTGCCCAAATCAGAACAGGTCAGTTGATTTCACTGTCCGAATAGCAACATTGGGATTGTAGCAGAATTTATGGAAACAAGCGCTGCCGTAGTGGTTATATGGAGTCTGACTTTAAATACATACTAGGATGCCAAGGAGTCGCAAGAGAAGCAGAAAACCTGTACCAGGCTACTGAGTGAAGATGTGATACTAACAACTCAAACTGGCATGCTGCCAGTGCCCGGATTACTAGTAGCAAATAGTGCCCCGCAACAGCAAAAGCTATCTAATCAAGGCCTTGTCCATGCAACCAATTTCAATTGGCATTCATGTCATCTGGCCGGACTTTAGGTTTTACAAAAGCAAGGTATTCAAGGCCATAGAAGGTTGTGGGACAATCCCAAACCACGGTGTCACCATCGTTGGCTACATGAGAATTCTCAGGAGATGCTAGTCCTCCTGGAGGTCTTTGTGGCCTTGCCACAATGGCTTCCTACCCAATTGTAGACTAATCTTATCAGCTTCACTTATACAAGCTATAATTAAGTGTGTAGATTTAATTTTCTACTTAATATTGAAAATGTTAGTCAATAAAAAGTGTTGTATTTTGTATCTGATTGGCGAAACTAAAGATGGCATTATTATTATTTTTTCAAAAGAATATAATTAAGTGGATAGATTTAATTTTCTACTCATTTAGGTATGGAATTTTATCTCAAAATACCTCAATTCTCTAGACTTTATCTAGAATTTCATATTGTTCTTGCACTTGCTGAAGTTGAAACTGGATATACGGTAGAGAACTTTTTATCAATTTGTTTAGCTTTAAAATAATATAGAAGATCTGCAAACCTCAAGACAATTTGTTTTGAAAAGGACACTTAATTACGTCTTGAACACTATGACTGCTAGTTTGGCAACTATGAGTTGGAGGGCCACTGCATTGGCTTACAATTGTTAGTACTTCAACTTCAAAAATCAACATCACAGACTGGAATGGAATTTTGGCGAGCTGCCGGCAATTCCTTATGAACACGGTACGCGGTTAAGGACTGCAGACTGAACCTTGTAGTCATCAGTACCATTCATGGCGACTAAAAGCCGAAGGGCAGAAACTCCGGCAAATAGACAAGGACCTGTAGTCATCAGATCAATAGACAACCCTTGATTCATCGATTGATTGATTCATTCGAACTTCTTTGTGTGGAAACTCCCCGGAGAAAACAAAACAAGAATCGCATTCAGGCGAGACTGATTGATAATAAGCTTACTGTGGTAATCAACTTGAGAAATATTCCTGGAAAATTTGGCTTCAACAATGAATTCTCATACCCCGCTTGCTTAAAAAAGGTCGTACCCAGTGCACAAGGCTCCCGCTTTACGCAGGGTCTGGGAGAGGTGAATGTCGGCTAGCCTTACCCCCATTTATGGAGAGGCTGCTCCCAAGTCTCGAACCCGAGACCTACCGCTCATGAGCGAAGGCACTTGCCATGGCGGCTTGACGGAATATGCCTTTTAAATTCATAACCACAGCTGCAACGGCGGCTTGATGGAATATGCCTTTTAATAGATAAAGCAAAACAGAGGAGCAAGGACATATCATGTAATACAGAGTGTCTACCAATATCGCCAACAAAATCCGATCCAATGCAAAACCACATATCATGTAATACAGTGTGTACCTAAACCAGCAAATAACTAAGGAGATGAACGCGAGTGCTAGAAGTTAAACTACTAAAAGTAGAAAGAAAGGACAATGAAACTCAATTGTGTTCTTTCCTGCATTTGATTTCCTCTGGTCATATATTGCAGATCATGTCATATCCTGCTTACTCTTGACTGCTTAGACCAATATTTGTTTATGCATATCTGATAAGCTCATATTTATAAATATTTTACATAAAATTCCCTTGTCTTTTCTTAGTTAGTTCCTTATATTTTTGAGCTATTTACTATGTTTTTCTGTTTTGTGTGATTTATCAAGCAAAGAAAAGAAAAGTAGCACAAGTGAGATACTAAGTAACAAATTCGTCCAAACTGCCTGTGCAGATTAACTGACTTTGGAAGCATGTTACGAACAACTCAGAATGAATAAGAGAATGAGCCTTATATGTTTGGAAAGCTACGGATGTCTATTTTCTGGAGCAATTTACAGATTGTTAATATCCTTTTTCTAGAAGAAGTTATGGGCATTGTAACACTAAAAGGTTCAGAAAAGGGCTAAGCAGATTTGGCTAATAAAATGTGAAAGTAAAGGCACTTGTTTTGTGTTTTGCTTTGTCATCAACACTCAGCAACAAATTGGGTTATGATTGCACTCATTTGGCTTTGGAGCAAGTGGAAATGCACAGCAAGAAAGAGAAGGTACAAACACATGCAAAGGGAGGAGACATCAAACAGCTCACACACATGCAAGGATGACATTCACACACATGCAAACTGCATGGACTGGTTGGAGGACAGAAAATGTGTTTGTTTTGTAGTTGAAATGATGAGGAACATGTGTGTGCAAATGGGCAAAGGAAACACACACATGGGCAAAGGAAAGGCACGGCATGGGCATAAAATACACCACTACATTCACTCATTACCACAACACTCACCCTTGTCCCCTTCATTATTTCTGTTTTCATGCACCATTACATTTAATCATTGCACTCAAGTGGTGCACATCCCTTGTCCCCTTCACCCATCAGATTTCATTCACTTTCACCTCCACTACATGCACTCATTGATGCACCACTCCTTCACTTTCCTTGCCCATGTCGTGCATCATGAATCCACCTGCACCTATAACTAATTTCTACACCATTCCACCTCCCTTTCCTTTATCTACCATGTGCACAATCATTCATGTTCCCCACTTGCATTCATAGCTGCAACACCACTCCATTTCACGCCCCATGCTTTGTATCATTACTTCACTTTCACCTTTGAATCATTGCTCACACCACCTTCCATCCCTCCACGCCGTGCACTTCCTCTATAAAAGGAAGTGTGTGTGGCAGCCATTACATTTAGTTTTTTCTTGATAATTCATCCCCAATTTAATACAACTTTCATCCAAACACATTCATTCATCTTCACATCCATTCCTCCATACAACCAAACCTTCAAACACTCACCAACACCTTGTGCCGCAGTAAAGGAAGGGAAGGAAAGTGCTTGGACGTGCATGTTGTCCAACTTGGATCGTTGGAGCGTTTAGGTGTTTTCTTTCTTTTGTTTTCAATGTCTAAATTTGTTTATCTTTGCTTTGTAAGTATGAGGAACTAAACCCCCCTTAGCTAGGGGGGAATTCGAAACCATGTTCATACTTGCAATATGATTTGATTACCTTCAGTTGTGATTTCATAAGTTGTGAATTCAATTTGTTTAACTGCTTGATTGATAACTTATTCGTGTATGTTTATTAAGAGTGCACACTTAGTTTGCATGCATGAATATGATGCTAGAATATAAAGGAGTTTCACCTAGTAGTTACAAATTTATATTCACAAGTAGTGTAGGTCGCTTATAAACGATCGCGTTAAATGAATTCTTGGCAGGAGTTTCATGCTCATCATAGTAACAAATGCATCGTCAATACTTATAGTTTTCATGATGCTTAATGATCTTTGATTGTATCTTTATTGTGTTATTCACGTAAAAGACTTTTGAAGAATGCTTGAATTGTTGTATGCGCTTTCCCATTCAATTCAATAACTTAAGGAGAACTTGAAGGTTAATTTGAGCGAACTTAATTAACCTGGGATGTTGAGTTTCATGATTGATCTAAAGAACAACTGAAAATTGGTTTATGTGCAAGTATGTGATAGCGATTTTACCACTTGTAAAACAAAGGGTTAAACCATAGAAAATTCTTGCAAAAGAACAAGTGTTTGTAGTATAGAATGGCTCAAGCAAGGTCGATCTCCTCAGGGACTGATATAAACAATTTACGAGTTTTTGTGTATTTACTTATTTAACTCTAAGAATTACACTAATTTGACGAAACTAAATACTATTGGATGTGAATTAAACAAATATCTAAAATGGGAATTTGCTTATAGGAACAATGATTCAACTTAACAAAACAATTAAAAATATAAACTCAAGATAATACAATTAATTTAAGAAAAATAGATTGACAAGGTGCTAGAGTTCAACCTTTACCAACAACACTCCTACGTAGCTCTTCCAATTGCTTAAATAATTGAAAATACCTATTCTTTGAAGGTTGGATTTTCCTTATGTATGTTTTACTTGTGACATTCAAGCTAAAACGCATACCACTACATGCAATTTATCCATGACATTTGGATTAAATATAAACATGAATCATTCATTAATCTTGATGAAAATCCTTTTGTTAAACCATGTAATCCCTAAGAGTATGATATTTACCTTAGGAGAAATTACAATCCTCAATCACAAGAAGCATAACCAATTTTAACGTGACATTCGTTCAAAATTGCATCTAATGACTTTTCTAAACATCCTAATGGTGATCAAGCATCAAGACACATAGATAGTTTAATTTAGAGATTGAAAACATCAAAGCAAGCATTTAACAACACTTAAGCAATTGAAAGAGAAATCTACGTAATTATGTTGCGGCTCATGGCCTCACTCTAGCAAAATAAATTAGTTACACATACTTGTATTAATACATAAGAAATTATCCATAAAAAAAATAACAAAGAACGAAAACACCCTTTTTTTTCCAGACGAGCTCTCCGTTCCCTTTTCTTCCTCTCCTGACTTCCTCTGCGCCTCGTCACTGCCTTCCTCTTGCTACCTAGTTCTCTGCGCACTGCCTTCCTTTCTTTTATTTTTTTTTCGTCCGTGCTCTGCCTTCCCTGCCTCTCCCTCTGTTTTTCTGCTCTCCTTTTGTCAGTCTCTCCTCACTTTCACTCACCTGCCCATCTTCTTTTATTCTTTTCTTTTAATATTTTTATTTCTTTTCTTTCTTTTCTGCGGTGCTATCCCCTTTGTTTTTTCCTCTCTGTCAGTTTCCATCCCACTGTCAGTTTCCATCCCGTGTGCCTTTCTCTCTATCATCCTCTGTCCTTCTTTATTTTTTTTTTCTTTTATTTTCTTCCACTCCTCTCTGTCTGCCAGTCTTCTTTCTGTCCGTGTGCCCCCCTGTCTAAAAACAGTAACAGCACCAAAATGAATTGAACCTTTTTCTGTCCCAGCCATGTTAACCGAGCCCCCCACTTAAGCCTTAAGATGTACTTTATTGTAGTGGTCTGCAGCTTTGGATAAAGATAATTGAAAACGGAATATCCTGGACCCATCTGCACATAATAACGGACTAGATTAGGTTCAATTATACAAAACACAAAGTGTCCTGTCTCTTTCTTTTTTATTTTTTTTTCTCCACTTTGCTTGAAATTAATCCTAAAGCAAATTTAACTGCACACTAACACAAGGTAAGGTAAAATGCCACCATTTTAACACAAAAACATCACAAAGACTTTAGAAATGGATGGTATAAATGTATGAAATAT